CACCTCTTAGGTCTGGAGTTAGAGCCACTGGGGACCCATGAGCCCAATGTCCGCTTCCACCCCTCTGTCCGTCCTGACCTACTGCAGTTTGTCATCAGGAGCTTGCATCCTGAACTCCTCCAACTCCCCAAAAGAGACAGCGCCGACAGGAAATGCCATGGAGGAGACCCCTCCACCCACCAGGGCTCTTGCCAGCCCCAGGGCCCTGGTAGTGGTGGTAGGATTCAATACTCATTTCACTTGTTGCGATGCATAAGCTCCACAGGCCTGTGACAGTCAGACCTACAAGGGCTGTCACATGACCCAGATTCACTCAACCCCCAAGACCGCAGAATGTGACTGTTTGAAGACAGTCTATACGTAGGCATTTTGGTAAAAAGAGGTCCCTGAGGCAGGTTCCCCAGTGTAAACTGTCCTGATAAGAAAACATCAGGCAGTCGGGCGGTGGTAGCACACGCCTTTAATCCCAGCACTTAGGAGGCAGAGGCAGGCAGATCTCTGTGAGTTCGAGCCCGGCCTGGTCTACAAGAGCTAGTTCCACGACAGGCTCCAAAGCTAAAACATCAGGCTGGGCCTGTTGGAAACACCTGTTGTCTCAGCCACTTGACGATAGCATCCAAAGCCAGCCTGGGCTATGAGGGGCATTGAAGGCTAGTGTGGGCAACTGGCCAGCAAGAAGGATGAAGGCTTGGTTTGGAGGTGGAGCCCTGCCTAGAATCCCCCAGTGAGGGGCTGGGGGCGTGGTCAGGGTGCTGGAGTCTCTGGCCTTCATCATGGCTAGGAATGTTCAAATAAAATAAAGAGAAAGAGGAGAGAGCAAGCAAGTTCCAGAAGGAAAAGGAAGAGGGCTGGAGAGGGATGGTGGTTCAGTTACGCTTTTGTAGATAAGGGTGTGGTGCCACAAACCTGTAGTCTGAGTTCTTGGGAGGCGGAGGCAGGAGAGGCCGCCCCACCTTTTAAACAGGCTGGAAAAAGACCCAGCGCAGAGCACAGCATGGCCAGCGTCCGCTCTGTGGTCCCATCCCACCCCTGCTCTTGCATGGGCGTCATGAGCATCCAGAGCAGTGGCTCTCGGCCTTCCTGAAGCCGCAACCCTTTAATGCAGGTCCTCGGGCTGTGGTGACCCCAGCCATGAAATTATTTCCATTGCTACTTTATAACTGTCATTTTCCTACTCTTATGGTCGCAATGTATCATCTGTGTTTTCTGATGGTCTTAGGCGACCCTGTGGAAGGGTCAGTAGACTCCCAAAGGGGTCGACCCACAGGTTGAGAAACCCTGATCTAGAGCCCAGGGTCCCCTTCCTTGGGTCCCTGGACAAGTTACCAACTGGTAAGGGGGCCATGTTTGTTTCTACTTCTCACAGAGTTCCAGTCCTCCAAGCGCCCCCTGTCTAGCCATCTCAGCCATGGCTCCCTGCTGGGGTGCTGGCTCAGGCTGGGTTCTGGAAGGTCCTGGGGGAGACCTCATTGGTTCCATGCACTCCAGCTACGGCTGGGGCGCTGCTCCTAACTCCACTGTGACATTTCTACAAGGGCAGAGTTGGGGTCACATGCAGAAGGGGTAGGTCATTGGGGTCACAACAGGGCTTTTACCAGAAGCGCTCCCTGTGCCTCAGCACCCCTGGTGAAGGTGACGGTCCCACCTTTTGGAATTAGGGAACAGCCACAGCTCAGGTGACTCCACACTGCCTTCAATTCAATCTGACCTTAAACTTGGCAATACAGTGGCCTTTAAGCGCCTTGGCTGGAGACCTAGGAAGCCCCAAGATGGGACCCCAGCGCTGGCAACTCGCTATGGGAAGGCGGTTGCTTCGGAGGCTGCGAGGGCTGAGGGACTCAGTCTGCCTCCTGCGTCTTGCCTGGAGCTCCTCTGGGGCCGGTGGATCTACCTTTCCCTGGGCTCCTTTTAAATTCGCTGAGGCTTGTCCAGCTCTGGAAAAGAGGAGCCAGCTGGGGGGGGGGGGGCATGAAGCCACCCTCTGCCCCTCCCACAGGGCACTGGGGACAGCACTGTGCTGGATTTGTTGAGAGGCCAGTGGGTATGGGAGAGCTGGGACAGGTCACCTGGAGTCACAGAGCGGGAGAAACCCTCTGCCCGGAGCTCACAGGGTCCCTGCTCTCCGCAGACTGTGGCCTGGCACCCCCAGGGGCTCTGACCCGGATCGTGGGCGGCACCTCGGCCTCACGTGGGGAGTGGCCCTGGCAAGTGAGTCTGTGGTTGCGGCGCAGGGAGCACCGCTGCGGGGCCGTACTAGTGGCCGAGAGGTGGCTTCTGTCCGCGGCACACTGCTTTGACGTGTGAGTCCTGCCTCCGTGAGGTGTTCATCTGCCCGTTCCCAGCCCACCTCTGCAATTCGGCTCCAGTCCCCAAGGCCACCGGACAGAAGGCACCATCTCCCTGGCAGGGCTCTAGACGTAGAGGGTGTATTTCCTAAAGGGAACCCCCATAGAGTGCTCATGTGCTTGTGGGGCACAGGGTGAAAGGGACACGTTCCCATGCTGTGTCTGAGGTGCTAGCCAGCAGGCTCCACCCTAGAGGGCTGAGCGCCATGGAGTCTGGGGGTATTCCCTCGGCTCTGTACTGGTCGGACTGTGGTGGGGTTGCGCGGGCGCGTGTGAACACACACAGCAGCCCCATTTCTACTGGGTGGCTGAGAGGGGTCAAGAGCCTTGTGTCAGGTCTCTAGAGGATTTGGAGGGCAGGAATGGGGGGGACCATCCTCAGCGCTGGATATGGTGCCAGCTCATGGGTGTTCCCTCAGAGGGACACACCTCGTGGCTGTGTGAACCCGAATTGGGTAGGGGGACAGAGCGACCCATTTTCACTGGGACAGTGACTCTGCCCACACGCACCCTGCAGTTACGGGGACCCTATGCAGTGGGCAGCCTTCCTGGGCACCCCGTTCCTGAGCAGCGCCGAGGGCCAGCTGGAGCGCGTGGCGCGCATCTACCGCCACCCATTCTACAACCTCTACACGCTGGACTACGACGTGGCACTGCTGGAGCTGGCAGGTCCAGTGCGCCGCAGCCGCCTGGTGCGACCAATCTGCCTGCCTGGGCCCTCGCGGCCCCCAGAAGGCGCGCGCTGTGTCATCACCGGCTGGGGCTCCCTACGGGAGGGAGGTAAGTGCACGCTGGGAGGGGGTGGGGTGGTGGTGGAGGGGGACATGCGGGCAGGACTCCACTCCCTCCCTTGCTGCCGCAGGATCCATGGCTCGACAGCTGCAGAAGGCCGCAGTACGCGTCCTCAGCGAGCAGACTTGTCGCCGCTTCTACCCGGTACAGATTAGCAGCCGCATGCTGTGTGCAGGCTTCCCGCAGGGGGGTGTGGACAGCTGCTCGGTGAGTGGGTGGGGCCCAGGGCTAAGTCTTGCAATACTATGGTCTTTTGAGGCAAGGTCTCAAAGCACCTGGAGAATCCCTAAGTCCCAGGAACCCTCCTGTCTCCGCCCCGAACTGGGGATTTTCACCTGGGTTCTGGGATTTAATTCAGGTCCTCAGGCTTGTGTGACAAGCACCTTCCTATTGAGACTGCCCAAGAGTCTCTCCGGCCCAGCCACCCTTGACTCTGGGGACATCACTTGTCACAACTGCTTGTTCAAAGACAATATGCGGGCTTCCCAACCCCTACATCCTACTGGAGGGAGGGTCCTGACCCGGCTAAGTAGCTCAAAATTGGGAGACTGAGGATTACTGTGAGTTTGAGGCCAGAGCCAGCCTCACTGACAACACACACACATAGCTCCCTCTCAAGTACAGGGAGATGAGGACCTGAGCTCAGACCCCCAGGCGGCACACATCTATGCGGGTAAACAGCCGGGACTACTCCCAGGGTCACAGAGAGTCCCCACCTAAACGCAATGGAGTGGGGAGAATACCGACGATCACCGAACACCTGACTCTGGCTTTCATGGGCACAGCACACACACTGGGTCCTGGGGACCCGGACACACTAGAACCGAACCAATTCTGCACACGGCAAAAGTGAGGCACCTTGGTATCTTCTCATGTGGGGTCCTCCCTGGTCCCAGAGGGCTGCCAGTCTGACAGTGTTTTTCCCTTCAGGGCGATGCAGGGGGACCCTTGGCCTGCAGGGAGCCATCTGGCCAGTGGGTGCTGACGGGAGTCACCAGCTGGGGCTATGGCTGCGGCAGACCCCACTTCCCAGGTGTCTACACTCGAGTGGCTGCCGTGCTGGGATGGATAGGCCAGAACATCCAGGAGTGACCACCGTGCAGCTGGTGACCCAAGCCTGGACCGGACACTCAACCTACCGGGGGAGCTGGTGCCGGCAGGCATAGGGGTCTCATGGGAACTACCCGTGGCTGTGTATGTTGTCCCAATAAAGAGCCCCTCTCGCGGGGCTGGAGAGATGGCTCAGCGGTTAAGAGCATTGCCTGCTCTTCCAAAGGTCCTGGGTTCAATTCCAGGCAACCACATGGTGGCTCACAACCATCTGTAATGAGGTCTGGTGCCCTCTTCTGGCCTGCAGGCATACACACAAACAGAATATTGTATACATAATAAATAAATATTTAAAAAAAAAAAAAGAGCTCCTCTCCCTAGCTCTGGCTCAGGACCTGTGTCTCTGGACGGGCCCACTGGTGCCTTTGTTTTTGTGGGAGACAGTCTTATGTACCCAAGGCTAACCTCAAATTTCATCCTTCTGTCCTGTCGGTCCATCGTTGTCACACTCTCCCCACCCCCGCTGGGATGACAGGCGTGCACCAGCCTTGGTTTATGCAGAGCCGGGGATGGCTCATGCATGGCTCTACAGAGCCAGGGAACCACGCTCTGTATCCCAGCCTAGTTCCTAACCCAGATGATGGGCACCTGAGACCACGCTCAGTCCCGCACAAAGCCGCTCCTTTCTTCTTTCTTGTGGGGGACGATGCCTTCCCTGAGAGTTTGCAGGCCACGGACACCGAGGGGAAAATACCCTGGGAGGCCTACTATGTTATGCAGAGGGGACCTGAGGCAGCAGAAGGACACGCCAGCTTCTCTGCCCCAGCAACCATTTATTGGCCTGCTCTCAGCACAGCTCAGGTGGGGGCAGCCAGATCCCCGCGCTCAAACTGGTCCTCTCTCTCTTCTGAGACCGAGCTGGGCAGCGCAGCCCAGGAGAGGCCTCGATCTCCGAGCCCTCCATGCTGACAACTTGGGGTCACCGGACACAAGCTGCCCTTGCGGGTAGGGAAAGAGTTCCGACCGTGGGCAAGCACACGGTGTCCCGAGGAACAGGTGCCGGTCACATGTTGGCTCGTTCCCGCTGCAGTCTAGAGTTGTAGGCGCGGGACACGGTGTTCCAGGCGTCCATGTAGCGGTCCATGCACATGGCGATGCATTTCTGCAGTGGAGGAGACTCCAGCTTGAGGTAGGGTCACATGACCCAGAATTAATCACCCACTAGAACTACAATTACACATGTGCAGAAGCCTTTGTCCTCACTCCTGCGCACGCGCAGAACTCCTAGTCAGGCTGCGGCTCCGGGTTGCGCACGCGCCAAGTCCCACACTCCCTGCAGTTCGTGACCCCGCGCCCCTCACCATCCCGCCGTTCCCGGAGAGTCTCACCTGCTCCGAGTTATCCAAGGAGCCCCCGGGCTTCCCGATGCACTTCCGGAAACATTTGTCCGTCATCCTCTGTGGACACACGCGAGGCCTCAGCGGGGACCCACCCGGGGGGACCCCATCACCAATCCCGGCGCGCCCCGCACCTGCAGCAGTTCCTGCGCGTTGGCCACGGCGATCTGCACTTTCACCTGCTCCATGATGACCCCTGGGTCCAGCTTCCCGCTGCCCGAGCCGCCGAAGTCCGAACCGAAGCCGCTCTCCATGGCTGCGCAGTCAACCGGGCCGCGGCAGCGCGCGCCGACCCGCAGGTGCCGGAAGCCGGGGCACCACGGGAAACGGAGGCCGCGTCGGTTCCCATAAGGCTGCGCGCGACGTTACCAGTCCCATAGGAAACTGTGGTCCGAGTCACCATGGAAACGAACCAAACTACATCTCCCACAATTCCGAGCGCGCCCCGACAAGCGATCGTCCGCGGTGCTGTGGTAAAGTTCAAACTACAGTTCCCACAAGACTTTGCGTGCCGTCCCTAGGAAAAACCCAGCGTGTCCATTGGGTTATCACGGATAATGAAACCTAGACTACAACTCCCAAAATGTTGTATATTTTCTTGCAGGCGCAAAATGACTTTATCAAGTCACCGCCGCGCATGTGCACGTGTCGTCCAAGCACCCGCACTATTACATGAAATCCTCGCAGGCGCTCGGCGCTGTGGGGGCCAGAAAAATCAACTCAGAGGCTGTGGTTAAAATCAAAATTTTTATTTGAGTGTACAAAAGTTTCCAGTCGTAAAATGGATATTACAAATGATAGGAGGGGGAAGAAAAAGGCGAAACACATGTTTGGCATGCATCTTAGAAAAGAAACAGAACCTGTAAAGCTGAGCGATGTGCGTAGTGCAGGCTGCTCCCCAGCTGCAGTGCCACCCCTGTAACCGCCTCGCCTGCTGGCGCCAAAACAGGACCCCTGTGGAGTTGAGGGTTACTCCAGCCCAGCTTGCAAACTGGAAGACAGCTCCAGCTGGGTGCAGCAGAGGGCACCTGGGCAGGTGCAGCTGTGTGGAGACCGCAGCCTGCTCACACTCCTGAAACCAACTAGACACACAGTCCAGGATCCCACACGTGTCACAAAGAAAACGGAGCTATCTTCTGAGGGCTGGGGGCAGTAGTGGCATCCCGTGGCCTAGAGATCTTGCCTTGGGGAGTCTGGGCCTGAACTACTACTACCACCTGCTGTGCCCACAGACAGCTCCCCCCCCCCCCACTCCCGGCTCAGTCAAGGAAGCTGAACGTCAGTGATCTCCATTCCTGGCAGCCTTGGGCCTGAAAACCCCCAGAGCAGCGTCCTGGTGAGCTGCATTACTAATGTAAAAAAATAAATATCCGTTAAAAAAATACCATGTGTCTGTGATGGGGAGGTGAAGGTGACAGGTGACAGCTGGCACCAGGAGCTTGTGGAACTATGTTCTACCACAGCAAGCGTCCAGGCCAAGCCAGCAGGGTGGGGGGCACAGAGAGGCCATGCAGTGTGTATACACGTGGGACTATGAACACAGCTGGTTTGGCCACACCCGTGTGAGTAGACACTGGCCGGGCATCCATAATGTCCCCTTTGGTCCACTGGAGTGGCAATCCTGTGTGGATTTCCTCCTTCTTGGTCCTCACCTTTAGAAGGGACCTGATGCCCTGAGGCTGGCTCAGGGCAGAGCTGGAGCCCCTCTGACCAACCCCAGGAGTAGAGGGACTGCCCTGTGTCTGAAGAGCTACCACATCCTGATAGGCTGCTGGCGATCACCACAGCCCTCTGCAACCTGATTTGATTTGATTTGATTTGATTTGATTTAAAAAGCTTCAAAGAAAACTCAACTAGTGAATCACTGCAGCATCACAAGGTCCACCCTCAACAGGCTCCTGACCCTCCCGCATCGGCCACAGGCCCAAGGCCCTCAGCCTGCAGACTTCTGACCCAGGCCTCTATATCAACCAGGTGACACAGGAGGGGTGAAGCCTGCAGGGAGAGCCCCCCACATTCTCACGGCCACTCAACAGTCATCTAGAAATGGACCAAGGACTATGAGAGCTGACTATAAAAAATAATTTCAGGGACTTTTGTGGGGACCTTGGTGACCATGGGGCAGGTCTCACATCAGCCGGCAACCCCTCGAGGTAGTCCTCGGGTCCCCCTGCAAAGATGAGGGCTGGAGTTAGGCAGCCTGTTCCCAAGCAAGCAGCCAGGTCCCCACACGCTTTGTCCCCAGCACAGACTCGGCTGGAGTCTCCTCTCCCCCAGCTGAGGAGAGGGTGTCCTGGCTGTCTGAGGCAGGACTGTGGGACCCGGACCTGAAGCCCCACTAGGTGTGATGCCGCATGCCTTACCTGCTGGTGGAAAAGGTCCTCCTCCCCGAATTCCGCCTCCTCTTCCTCCTCCTCCTCCCCATTCTCGCTCACCGGAACAGATGCCTGCTTCACGGCCTGCACAGCCACCTCCTATACAGAAGGGTTGCCATGTGCTGGATACCCCCGCTAAGGGCCACCCCAGGCTTCAGCTCAGTCACAGCTGCCATGAGGGAAAGGAGACACTGGGACCGAGCTCACCCCACCATGTTCGTACCTCTCCATCTGCGTTGACCAGCACAGTGCGGAAGCTCTCCCCAGAACCCCAGCTGCTCTGGCTTTTCCACACAAGGGTTGATGGGGGACTGTGAGTGACCCCTGAGCCAGCTGCCCACACCTGAGGACCCAAGATGGCCCTTGTCAGACACCTCAGGGCCTGGGCCAGCCAATGGCTGTCCACAATGAAGCCCTTCAGTGGGTTTGTCCCTGCAGGATGGCCCCAGGACATGGACAGACAGGTTCACAGTGGCCCAGGACGTGGACAGAGACAGGTTACAGTGGCCCAGGACATGGACAGAGAGACAGGTTCACAGTGGCCCAGGACGTGGACAGAGAGACAGGTTCACAGTGGCCCAGGACGTGGACAGAGAGACAGGTTCACAGTGACCCAGGACGTGGACAGAGACAGGTTACAGTGGCCCAGGACATGGACAGAGAGACAGGTTCACAGTGGCCCAGGACGTGGACAGACAGACAGGTTCACAGTGGCCCAGACACTCGGCTGCAGAGCCATACTGCAATCTCAAGTACCTTGGGGCCCAGATGTTCCACCCTGAACTGAACTGCCAGGCCTCAGACACAGGATACCATTTGGACAGTAAGGTACCCTGAGGGGTGTGGCAGTCATACATGGCAGCTAGTGGCCACCGGGCTGGTCTCAGAACAGGGAATCCACACAATGCCTCCCACCTTGGGACTCAGTGTTGGGAACCACCCAAGCCCCAAATTCCCTGGCACCTACCGTGACTGTCTGGCCGGCCCGCAAGACATACTTGGGCGTGAACTTGTAGGCGATGTCCTCACCCTCCAGGACCTGTCTCTTGATCCTCCAGTTCCCTAAAGACTGGTCCTGAAACCCAGACATGTTCTTGATCCCCCAGCTCCGGGATGGGAGCATGGGCCCTAGCCACCCAGCCCCTCACTCACTTTGTCCGAGGAGTTCTTGAGTCGCACGAACCTGCCCTCCAGGTCCACCTCGTCAATGCTCACAACACCTGTGACTGGGGCCTGCTGTGCCACGCGGGAGCCACTGCCCACGCCCATGCCTGAGCCCGAAGCACTGCTGCGTGAACCCTGGGTGTCCTCAGTTTCCAGCCGTCGGCGCTTGCCCCGGCCCCGCCCCACGGACATGCCAACCCCGCTGCTGCTGCTTGAGGTGGCCTGAGAGATGGTGACCCGGGAAGACGGGCTAGGGGACAGCTTCAGTCTGCAGGGAGGGAAGTGTGAGAGTAGCCAGGAGGCAAGGCATGGCCTGGCCTGAGGAGCCCCGCCCACTTCCAGGCCTTGACCACCAGACACCCAGACCTGCCCACAGTTTTCAGGAACTCCACCCACTCTCCTGGGCCCTCCCTCATCTCCAGGCCCCTGGCCCCACACACCTCTCCTCCTCCCCCTCTAGTAGCTTGCGGTAGGCGCTGATCTCCATGTCCAGGGCCAGCTTGATGTCCAGCAGCTCCTGGTACTCAGCCAGCTGCTGCTGCATGGCGTTGCGCACCTCCGTCATCTCCTGCTCCTTGGCGTCCAGCATCTTCCGGAACTTGTCGCGCTCCCCAGCCATGGCCTCCTCCAGCTCGCGGATCCTGTCCTCTGCAGCGCTGGCCTGGGGAGGGTGTGGCAGGGTCACAGTGTGGCCTCTGCAGCCTCAGATGTGAGGGACCAGAAGGGTGGGATGGGCAGGATGGGGGAGGATTAGAGTCTTGGAGTCACAGAGCCTGGCAGAGGCCTTGGCGGGAAGGGCTAGGTTCCATCACCTTCTTTTGGAGGCCTGAGAGCTGGTAGCTGAGGGATTCCATGCGCATGCGGGCTTCCTTGAGCTCCTCACGGGCAGCACTGGCCGCCTTGTCATTCTGGTCCGAGCTCAGCTTGGCATTGTCCAGCTGGAGAAGTTGGGGAGTATGAGCACAGGTGGCAGAGACTCGGGCTCCCCTTCCCTCTCCTCCATGGCTGCACCTTGGCCTGGTAGGTCTGCTCCAGCTCTAGCCGATACAGCCGCACTTGCTCATCATGCTGGCTGCGCAGCTCCTCCAGGGCCTGCGCCATCTTGAAGTCGTACTCCTGCTGCCGGCTGCTGTCCACCTCCACCAAGCGCCTCTCATGCCTCCGCCGGGTCTCCCGCACCTCCTATGAGCAGGAAGGCAATGACTCACTAATGATCAAGCGTGTGGATGCCCCATGCTTGTGGACAACAGCCTGGGCCGTGAACACACTGGAAGAGTATACGGGCACGAACAGGAGCGAGGCTCTGATACAGTCTACAGCATGGGGAACCCGGATGAAACGGGTCGTGCTGAGAGAACCGGGCATGAAAGGTCGCGAGATCCCAGCACTCGCGAGCCAAAGACAAGAGATGGCTGCAACCTCAATGCCAGCCTGGGCTCATAGTCATAGGCAGAGCCTATCTTAAAAATTTTTAAAGAATGCCAGGAGCTGGGTGGTGAGGGAGCACACCTTTAATCCCAGCACTCGGGAGGCAGAGGCAGGCAGACCTTCACGAGTTCCAGGCCCTGGTCTACACGCTAAGTTTCAGACTAACCAGAGCTACATGGTGAGACCCTACCTCCAAACGATAACAAGACATCTAAGGTAGCCACTGACAGAGCCTACCCTGGTGCCTGGAGTTCCAGATCCAGCTGGGAGCAGAGCAGCCCCAGACAGCAGGACAGTGGGGAGGCATGGCCATGACAGCAGCAACCACAGGAAGACGGCTAATGTGGGAGGGGGGGATCAACT